CACACACACACACACACACGCGCAGCACCACAACATAGACACAGACCACCCCCGGCAGCAACAGCAAAAACAAACACACACATACACATACACAACACACATACACACACCCCACAGCAACAGCAAAAACTCGCACCGCGGCAGGAACAACAACAAAACGACAACAGCAAAAGCAACAGTACTGTAACCGTCTTGGCATTGGGTTGTGTCGTGCATGTCCTTAGCGGATTCCTCGGACTGGTCATGATGTCCTGTCAGATGCAACAAACATCCGTTTATGCGGGGATGGCTTCTGGAGATCAAGGGCTTTTGCAAGTTGAGGCCTGTAATTAGGAGCTCGACGTCGTTGCGCAAAAAAGTGAAAGCGAAGCAGGGCCTTACATGCTGAAACTGAAAGCCAGATTGCGCCAGGTTCCGGCGGAGTCGGAGGCGTAACTGGGCCGAACTTGCGAAGGGGTTGCAGTAATGAGCCCCCATCCTGGGACTTGGTTGCGGAATGTTTAAATTGCTGGCAGCAATGAAGCAATCGTACTCAAGTGTCAAGCTGAGGCCTCCACCCAGTGCGCCTGCGGCGCCCGCGGCCTCCGAGGAGCGGGGGAAGCCTCTGCCGAAAGGTGAAGCTGCAGGGTGCCTCTGTACAATTTTTTCTGTATCATTTTTTATCTACCCCGCCCAAACACTGCTGAAGCTTGGGTGCTCGGCCAGCATGCTGATTTCTCGTGCCTGGCCTTGAAGTCCGGATATTGATGTCGCAGGAGGCTCCTTCCAATCCCACGTCCTGAGGGCGAGCACCGCAGCTTGAATCCAAATGGATAGGAGCAGCTCCCGGAGTCAAAGTCTTTTCTTTCCCATCGATTTCCTTGTCAACGAAGAGAAGCTGCGCTCCAGACCCCACGGCACTCGGAGAGGTTTCACGGCGAGGAGAGGAGAGGTGAGGTGTAGCTGCCTTGTGCATGCTTTTCAGATCTTGTCGCCTCCCCACGCGCGGGGAAGTGCGATAGCTAAGACGGCTTGTAGGAGGAGACTTTGCTAATATTCCATCTTGCTATGTCTCGTCCGGACTTCTGTCTTTAGAGAACAAACTTCAACTCAATTGCTTGTACAAGCTACTTGTGTGCAGCATGGCATGTTCCAATCAAATTGAAGAAGTCGGGATGAGATCGCTCCGTCACCAGCGGAAAAACTTCTGCAGCAGCATGTTGCTCTCGCAAGCAGTTTGCGAAGCCAGGCCGAGATCTTTAGCAGAGAACAAACAGTTCCCCGCGTCCCTGCAAACTTTGGCTCAGCTGCTGGGCCACGCAAAGGCTTCGGGCCGACAGGCCTGAGGGAACGAGAACTGCTCGAAGCAACGGCTCTGATTGCGTGCGGCTTGCCATCTGTTGTGCTCTGCGGAGCTTGGCCATGTGCAGAATGTCACGAAAGTTCGCCTGGTGGAGCTTGAAGCAGTTATCGTCCTCAGTAGAAGCAACGAAGTGAAAAACGTGGTCCGGGTCCTCATCATGTCGTTTAGCAATAGTTAAGGCGCGGGGAAGGAGGGGGCGAAACCCATAACATTCGATGTTTACGTGTAAGGTTCCCCCCTCTAACCCCTGCCTGAAGATCCCTTGTCCAGCATGTCTAGAATGTTGTGTTCAGTGCATACATGTTGTCTCGACCCTGCCAGAGCGGGACTACTTTCTAGCAGCAGTTTCAAGCGCAACTGGCAGCACCGCGAATTTCGTGTAGACTGACTTCAAAGATAATGATTCACTACGCATGGGTCTGTCTGGCCATCGCACTTTCTGACAACTTACACTTCTGCACAGTGAGCCACAGCGAACCCTGCGGTTGCGCACGCAGCAGTCGCCCCAAGCTTTCCCTGCTACGCTTGATTCCCATATTCATGTAGAAACGACTTTTCGTTAAATTTGTGCCCGGCGAGAGATCTGACGGGACGGGGCCACCACAGGCTCGCAGCGCCGCAGCGCTCCCCAACATGGGCAGGCCGAGTCCGGGGCGTAAAGAAGGGGGGGGGCTCTGCTTCGTGCCATTCCTTGGTCGAGGCGCGGGCAAATTGCGATCGACCGGATCGTGGCGCTGCGTTCGTCAGTGCTGCCGCATCTTGGCATCGGCTTCAAGCGAAACTCTGTCCGCGAGCAAACCAACGTACAGTGCATGTGATGCGGATCCGAGGATATACGTCATCATCAGCTGCAGCCACAGCTTCGTTTGAGGGACGCACGGATGGCAGGAACTGTCTGCACTCAGGGCCCAACAGCGTGACCACAGCGGACGAGGTGCGAGTTGCAGCAAGACCGGTCTGCTGGTAGCGGCTTTGCAGCTTTGCAGTGGCTTTGCAGCGATGGGGGTTTGCGGTTGCTGTGAAGGTTTCTGAGGACGGCAATGACTTCCTCACGACCCGGATGCCGGCCTCGGCAAGTTATGCTGGAGTTCCAGTTCGGGATTCGGGGTTCGTCTCCTTCCCTTTGTCCCTTAAGGTCCATGTCGGGCCTTGGTCTTCTGACACCAGACGGGTATTGCAGAATTGGCAGGTTCGGTGATCAGATCGCATTCCAGTCAATAAGTGCGTGACCCAGATGATCGTTGCAAGAGCATTGCGGCTGACATGAACATCTCTGGCAGCCCCTTCTTCTCTTCCTCCCTCAGTGGTTTTGAGCGCAAGATTGTTTGCGTGCAAACGTTGTTCCAGCGCCTGAGTCTCCGACCGTCGTGCCCCCGAGCACTGTTGCATTCATACACTGTAGACGCAGGTGGGGACTACCTAAGCGCGGAGGGAGACGAGGCCACAGTCACCATCGCCACCTGCAGGTTTTGCTGGTGAAGGGTTGGAAAAGCGCAGCTCTGCGGTACAGGACGTCGTTACATAGGTTCACGGCTCATTTGCCATTGCCACCGGGCCCCATTCCTTGCAAACTGCTGGCAGATCGGCACCCGCCGCTATTGCAGCACCTTCGAGCGGTTCTCCGTCGTGAAACAGGAATGGAGCTGCAGCGGTAAAATTTCAGGTTCTTGTTCACAGCTTCCGACCTCGACAGTAGGATGGGGGCTGCTTTCAAGTCGAGACGTCGGAATGAGGACACGCAGTACTCCTTCCGCACGGCGTCAGGGAAATTCCTGAGCGTCAGCGACCGGGCACCCTTCGTGACACTGGCCGGGCCGCCAGACCTGCGGAGAATAGCTCGCGTGGCTGAAGCATCTCCCCTGTGTCAGGGAGACTCGCCGGGTGACACGGAGTCATTCCAGCTCTTCTCTTTGATGATGTACGGTGTGAATGCGATATCCTCGGTGGGGGAAGGGATATTCTTCTTGGCAGCAGCGCGTGCCTGCTGCAGTTTCACCTGCTAACCAATTTCAGTGCATGTGCTGTTGGCACTTGCTCAGGTCGGGCAGCAGCTGGAATTGCTCGATAGGCCCTGCCTTTGCGCGATGAATACACAAAGCCATCATGCCGAGGTGCCTGATCTTTGTGCAGGCCTGCAGGCTGTTGCTTGATCAAGGCCTTGTGCCAGGAAATGTTGAGGGTCGTAAGAAAGCCGACCGAAGACGACGAAGCTTCAACGCAGTAAACGTTAAGCTCCTCTTGTGCAATTGTGCAAAGCGGATTCAGGAAGATGCAACAAGACACAGGTAGAGCACCTTACATGTGTTGCATGTGAGCCTTGCGTGGCCTCACGTCAAGCTGTCGGAGCTGCCAGTGTGTGACCCAGCTTTGGCAGTTCTCTATGTAGTTTGAGAGGATCAGTCCTCAGAATAATTGTAGCTTGTGGCCTGCTTTCGGTCCTGCTGCTGCCGAGAGCTCCTGTTTGTGCTTGGGGGGTTTTGCAGACTCCACGCAGTCTTTTCAAAAGCGAGTGAATTCTTCGGCACCCTCCGGATCAGCCAAGGCAAATGATGCGTTCAGGCCATCTGCACGTGTCTTGCAGTTCGTGCAGACATGAAAATATCTCAATGTCACCATCTCCATGCATGTGGAATTGCTCTGCAGGGGTAGCAACATCCCAGCGTGAGAGATGACATTGGGTTGGAGAGCGGGAAATTGGCTTGGAAAGCACCCGTCGAGCGGCAGGCCTCTTGACAGCTCTGGTGCTGCTGATCCTCCTGAACGAGGCCTGGCATCAGTTGCAAGGTCTAGTGGCATAGCTGTTGATTAGCTCACCTGCCTTCACCTTGCGCTGGCACTGCACGAACTTGAGTTTCATGCTTATGTTCTGGTAGACGAGGAGGGGGCTTGAGTGTGTGTTGAGTGTTGAGGGCGCGGCAAAGTGCCCCAAAGGCCCGCCGACACAGAAACACCACCGCCAGCCGCCACGGCTGTTGTCTGATGTAGCTGGCCGGGCGATGGACATGGTGCTGCAATATGTGATGTGGGGGTAGGGATGGCAAGTGCACCCACGATCTCTTTTCAAGCGCAAGACGGGAAGTTGCCAGGGCTCTGCGCAGTCCTACGACTGCGATGCCGGCCTCGCCAACTTCAAGATGGGCTGGTCGGATCTGAAGAAGCTCTATTGTTGCAACTCTTTTGGCAGATACGCCCTCAGGCAGCTGTGGCAGAAGTGCTCAGTCGGGTGGGCCAAGGTAAAGAGCACCATAAGGGCTGCGATGATACAGCGCAGCCAGCGCCGACGGCACCCAAGCCGTGGCCTTTTTCGAATCTCGGCAGGTGTTGAGAAGTGCCTGCACTGCAGCAGTGCTGAGCTTCGCTTTCGTGCGGGAGCTCTTTTGCTTACGAGAGATCGACATGGCACGCCAGCTGGCCGACTGATGAAGCCTGACTATGCGAGCATGATTCATGCAGCATGATGTTCGCAGTGTGCCTCAGATAAGGAATCCCAAGGCTGGTGCGGATGTGTGCCAGAAGAGACACCCGGTTTCAGACTGTGCGTGCTTCAGCTCCCGTGAGCAGTGTCAACTCGAGCTGAAGCAAGTCCCATCAGTGCTGCATGCCCTGAACGTCAGAGATGCCAAAACGGCAAACAGGTTGCCCTTGACAGTCGGTGTTGCGGCAGGTGCATCGACACAATAATACACATATGGTGCCTCCGTGGTGGACTCCAGGCTGAAGGTTGGGGATTGCTTCGAATGCTGTTGGATCAGTGCTTCCCAGCAGTATGAGTGCATTGTACCGAGCGGAACAACTGTGGACTCAGCACCTCGCATCGATGTGACCAGTGCTTGCAAATCTTTCCCCATGCCGGGCTAAGGGTTGTAGCTGGCATCAAACCAGCGGGAGCTACTGTGGACTATGGCATCTTGTCGGCATTGGGCAACAGGATCTGCAGAGCATTCTCCTTGCAGATGTCGAGGTCCCTACACTGCCGCCGGTTTCTCGCCTTCGCAGCAGCATCAGCCTCCTGGCTGTGAGATGCTGCAACATGCAGACTTCTGACCTGCGATCGCCCGAGCTTAGCTCTAGTTTGGATCGCTTCGGGCAGCTTGTGGTCGACCCAGGTTCGGTGTCAATGTCACCGGCCATATCAAGACCTTTGACCGCACAGAGATCCAGTGCCTGCCCCCAAAGCCCGCGACCGTCAGGCAAGTATCCAGAAGCTGCTGAAGTTTCTAAGCTGAAGTCAAGAGATTCGGCATCTAAGGAACTTTCAGCGTTTTCGCATTGCCACGAAGGCCCTGCAACCCTGCATCGATCCGAGCATCAGCTGCAAGCTTCTGATATGCTGCGGTAAAGTACTCGTCCAAGGTGCGCTTTCAACTTTAAACTGGGGTTCAGCGGTCGTGAGATGTTGGAACCACTAGCAAGTCCGCGTGTTCTGTCGCAAGTGCTGGAGCGGACTTGGAAACTGAAACCTCTGCCCGAGCGTTTCATAGCACACGTCAGCTGGGATCCCAAGGAAGGACAAGCAGTTCGGCTTGGATCAGAAGGCTCGTGGGCTTCAAATCCATTTTCTGGCAACAAGCTCGTCGTCTTCGCTAGAACGAATTGATTGTCACAGATATCAACACACCGCCAAGGCTGCATCCGCACAAGCGATACCCGAACGCACAGCACCGTAAGTGGACCCTGCATAAAATTCAAGCCAGTCCTTGAGATTAAGTCAGCGAGGCGATGATGCACTTGCTGGGGACCGTGCTTTGGCTTTGCCTAAGAGTGCTCTAGTGCAAGGTCACAGCTTGTTGGAACCAAGGTTCTTGAGGATGCTTGGGATGAGGTCACGGCCGAGGACCCTGCGTCTCCCGGCAGTTATTGCAGGTTGGCTTCCAGGCCATTGCTGATGTGCAGTGCCAGCAAAACGCTTCCACATTGCCGTTGGATCCAGTGCAAGAGCTGCTGCCTGCGCCGTTTTGCTCCCGAGGTTGAAGGAGTGGACGCGCTTAAGCATCTTGCCTCAACATGCTGTAGCATCAAAAAAGCGAGCTGTGCGATGGAACTGCCCGCAGCACATTTGACTTGCAGGCAAGCTTCGCTAGGGAGACGACTGTTTACACTCAAGCTCAGGAAGCTCCTGCCAACAACAGTGCATGACCGTTGCCACGGGCTGAGATGGAGTTGCCATGAGCTTCAGAGCAGCCTTCAACAGGCCAAAGTCTCCAAGTAAAGGCAAACGCAGCATTGTCATTTGAGGTTCTCAGTTGGAGTTTGCGCACACTCTGGTCGACGGGCGAGTTGCTCTCTAGGCACAGCTGCTGTGTTGTGTTCCATAGTGCACCTGTTGGCACGCCTCAAGCTGCACGATGCAGAAAATGGGCCAGGGGAGGTGGAGCCAGCTTTTCCTCCGCGCTCGCAGACGCCGTTAGAGCTTGCTATCCAGGCCGGCAGTCGCGAGCACAAAGCATCATGTCGCGCTGATCCTGTGCTCTTGCTTCGTTCCGTGCCGAATGGAGTGCATGCAGGCTTTCGTGCACTTCGCGCAGATGAGGTGGCACAGAAGGCCGATGCAAGGATCACACCGCGTCCAGGGCTTGTGCCGAGAGCTATAACTGCTTGGAAAATCATGGCGGCACAATGACCTTACTCGAAGACGCAGAGCTCGCCTTTCTTGATCTAGCTTTGCTCCTCGAACCCAAAGTCTTTGTCCATGCCTTCTGAAACCTCTTGTGCAGCAGGTCGGCAAGATTGTGGCCCGTGGTCTTGAGAAGCAGCTTCCTATCGCGGCTGCACGCGCGGACTTCTCCCCGGATCGCTGCCGGCTTAGCTGCAGATGAACGTTCCGTGTGTCAGGGTCCACTGGTCCGGACGAGGCCGCTTGAGCTTCAACCAGAACCCCAGCTGTTTGGAGCAGAGCTCGCTGGATGCCGCTGAGTCGCAAGCGTGGGTGGCAGCTCAGGACTACTTGGAGGATACCAATACACCCACATCTCCGAAAGATTGCATCATGTTTGTCGCGGTGGCAAGCCGCTGTCGTCCATAGGTCCATAATGGGATCTGAACCACAAGGAAGATTGCTTGGGATATGGTGGCTTGAGAATCCATGCCGATGGCAAGCACCGCCTCCTCTGAGGCCGAGGATCGCGAGCGCTTCGTGCTCCAGCTCGAGGCCCCTCCGTCCGACGAGTTTTGAAGCCGTCCGTGCACGCTCACAGAGGTGTCTGTGGAGAAAGCAGTCAAGACCGCCGAGATGAGGCTTGGTCAGGAAGCCGGCAAGCGAAAAGGAAGCCTTCTGCGAGTGTCAGGAGTTGGAGCACCATGGAACAGGCGGCAAGGCAGGCTTCGGGCGATTGACTGGATGTTGCAACCGAAGAATGTCCCATCCCTCGCATCACATTGACGTAGATCGATGGCTAGGAGATGCAGGCGAGGTATGCGAGGTATGTTTCGGAGGATGGGGTGTTGGATTTCCATATTTGCCACATGCAGGCCGTGCCAGCAAACTTGTCGGCGAGCTGTGATGAAGCAGGTTGGTCTTTAGAGTCAGCGACAGAGTTAAGTCTTTCCAGAAAGTGCATCACTTGAGCCGCTTGCGACTGGGCTTTTCTTGCTGTTTTTAAAGGACAACGTGATAGGGCCGATGGCAGTGATGGGGGTTGCGGGACGGAAGGCCGCTGAGATGCTTTGGGATGCAGGCCTATTGGCTCGAGGACAGCGTAAACGGTTCAGCTGTCGTGAGAGCTCCCTGTCCCTGCTCCGTGCGAGGAAACGCTGACATGCTGGTGATGACCTCTGTGGAGGCTAGTTATGATCGCAGTTTTCGCGAGCTGTCAAAGCTCCGCTGCCACATCAATGCTCATGTCTCCCTCTCCCCACGATTCTACCCAGAGGGCGCCTTGGCCGCCTGCCTGACGCAGCTCCCTGGCGAGTCGGCGGAGGCCTTGGCCGGCGAGGCAACGGCGGCACGAACACGGGTGTGGTAGAGTTGGTAGAGGCTCTGAGGGACCTTTGTTCTTTTTAGTTTTATTGTTTGTTATGTTGTTTTTTTTTTTTTTTTGCGGTTGTCTAT